AACTTCAATACGGCCGTATTGAGTTCAGTGCGGCCGTATTGTAGTTTAAAATGTTCAATACGGCCGTACTGAACTCTTGGGAGGCCGTATTGGGCTTCATTCCCTCCACTTTCTTATTTTTTGCTACTCTAAGACCTCTAAACCTACAGATTGTCATCCCACGGTCTTCTAAGAGTCCCTTTGGCTGACTTTCCTTTGATCTTCGAGAGTCTTCGAGTCTTATTTCCGACTCGGACAATTTTAGGGGTCTACACATGCCTAAATCAAATACAAGATAAGATGAATCTATCAACTGAAGCCTGGGGGATCAGACGCAAGACCAAAACAGACATCATATGAGTATAAGTCAAGAATGGGACAAAAGTTAGCCAAACATCAACATAGAGTTGCAAAATCATCAGATAGAGCCTAACGAACAAGCAGACAAAGTCATTACTCTCATAATCAGATGTAAAGGGTAGTCAAGACCAGACGAAGAATCATGTATCCAGACGCAATTGGAAAGTAATGAAGCGCGTCTGAAGTCCACTAATCACATCGAATGGAATCATACAAGAAACACAAAAATACATCAAACGTGAATACAGAAAGAAGAAAAATAGGCAAGCGTGGATTCACAAGTCAAAGTTGCGTGGGTCAGAAAAAGACACCTACTTTTCTGAAAAAGATAGCACCTTAGCAGCTAAACTGATGAGAAAAGTACAAATATGCCTAAATCATGATTGAAGTTATACATTGAAGTAATCAACGACACAGAAGGACTTCACGAATACAAGCAAACATTTAATGCAAGATCAAATGCATTAAATGAAAAAATTTACATAGCTATGAACAAGCCTCCATCTACAATGACATGAAGCTATGCTCCAATGGGAAAATTTAAATTCAAACAACGGGCATATTTATCAACTGGCTATAAGTATCAAGGCAAAGAAGAAGAAGGTGGAGAAAAACTAAGAAAGATAGAGAAAACATGCAGTAAGAAAAAGGAAGCGAAAAAGCATAAGCTACATTTCTTCTCAAAGAATTTCTTGCATATCTGTGTAAAAGCTAAGATAGCTTATCTTAGTGAGTGTTGCTAATATTCTATCCTCTCTATGAGAGTAAACACAATACTTAGACACTTATTCCTGTAAAACTAAGGTTACGCACTTTGGTGAATGTAGAAACTATTTTATCCTCTCTGTGAGAGTTGTAAACACACTCAACACCCGCATTTACTGTAAATCCTGAAGAGGCTAGTAGAAAGAGGTGATATTTTGAAAGAGGCAAGAGGAATGACTTAGTTTTGAAAACCCTAAGAGGAGTGGGCCTACTTTTGGGCCTTAGCTCCTACATTTTTATTAACATAAAATTTATTCATATTTTTCCCTTATCTTTAAATTTCCCATTTTTACCCTTGTATTTTGGATAAGCACCTATTAACTCATAATAGCTATTTAGTAACTAGAAATCAAATACTTGTCCCAATTCAAAAGCTTAGCATGTTTGGAGACAAACTTAAAAAAGCTTTTGAGGGCTTCTCACCCAGAAAAAGTCTTTTATTCTCAACAGAGAAATTCTCAAAAACTCTTATAAACTTATATCCACACAGCCCTTAACCAAGTAGTAATCGAAACTTAGCTTATCTTATCTTCTTTTTCATATACCTTCAATTTGCTCTCAGGCCAAGGCAGCGGAGATCCATACCCTTCATGAGGAAGAGGAACCAAACACATAAGGGGTGTCCTCGGGCAACTCCTCTCCGTGTGGCGGTAGCTCGGTATCTTCCCTCCACCAACTTCAAAATCAATGCAGGGAATGTAATTATGCTTGCTTCTAACACTACACAGTTTCCATCTATAGCTAGCATTCGGATCAAACAAGGGCCCTTTAACCTTTCCCTTGGTTGTTTTTCTCAACTCCTCCATTCCCCCATCTTCCAACATCTCAGAATCCTGATCCACTGATTCAATTAAATCATTGCTAGTGCCACCATCTACATCCACATCCACATCCACTTCACGATCCACTTTCTCTTCCTCACCCTCCACCTCCACTTCCTCTTCACCCTTCTCTTTGTCTTTGTCCTTGTCTTTCTCTTTTTCTTTCTCTTCATGGCCATGTTGGGGTTGAGGATCCTCTGACCCTTGATGATTCCCTTTCTCCTTATCCTCCTTGTGCACCTTTTTCTTCTCTTTCTTGGGGTGGGGACGCGTGGCAGAAGAGTGAGAAGAAGAAGAAGACCCATTACTCTTTTTATCAGCCTCACCCTTTTTGGATTCATCTCTCGGCTTCTGTGGCCTGTGAGAAGAGGCCACGGGCTCTGCAATGTCCTCAAAGCTTTCCCTTTGGAAGGTGACAGAGGATGAAGAAGAAGAAGAAAACACTGCCCACACAAAGATGAAGCAGAGACCCAATATGGTGACAGCTGTCATCTTTACCCACAAGCCGTGAGGGCGTTTTGCTTGACGAACTAACCGAGCTATGGCCATGTTGAAACGAATAATCGATTTGAAGTGGCACTACCTTGTTGAAACGAATCTGATCTAAGTCTATAGTATAAGTCTAACAGGAGAAACTGTAAAGAGCAAATAAATGGGAGCCTGTAACAGTTGTTGTTGTGGTGGAGGTGAACTAAGTGGATTCAAATCTGAGAATGGAAACAAAGAAACAAGTTTAGTTTAGGTGGTGTTGCCTTAATCTTAGAAATGTCTGAATCGTGGTTAGGCAGAGGACATGTTCCTCGGAGCTTCGATCCGTATGAGGTTGGGACATAGAGTAGATTATACTGGTAGTCAGCACTTAATCAACTATAAAGGAACAAGAGTGTTGTACATCCCATATGGTACACACTACATACAACGACCTTAACTACATTAAAGTATGATTAATTTTACTTTATAGATTGATTAAAAATAAATACATGTAATAGTAAATTATTATTGATTACAAGTATATAAATAATAGTATTTCACAAGTTTTGAATATCAATATATATATATATATAGTAAAATTGATTAATTTTATTTCATTAATAAAAAAAATCACTACGTATAATAATTAACATGGGAAAAAAAACATCACTATGTGTAGTAATAGTTAAAATTAGATAAGATTAGATTTTAATTTTGTATATGAAAAAAAAATAATATAAAAGAATTTAAAAGATAATTAAATTCTTTAATAAAAATTAATTATCGAATAAGTTGATAAACACTTCGTACTAATATGATTATATTATAAAAAAGTATTATCTCAAAAGTAATTAATAATATAATAAGATTATTAAAATATTTAATTATAAGATTAACATAATAAAAATTGAAATGATATGAAAAAAAATTAATTTTGAACTTTGATTTCGTTATTATAATTATGATAGTTAATTTTTTTATAATTGTCTAATTTTATAATTATATTTGTTTAATTTTAATTACTTATGAAATGACATTCACTACATTTATAACTTATAAGTGTAGTTAATTATTTTTTAATGGATGTTGAGTAGATAAACCGAGTGGGACATTTATCACTACTACTTAAATGCTTTTATTATTATTATTTTATTTCTTGAAAAAAATGTTTGAATTTGGTAATAGCTGAGATAGGAATTCAATCAGAATGAGTCTATAAAAAAATACATTATCATTTAATTATATAATGATGTATAAAGTAAAAGTGTTATTTTTATAATCATTATATTTTACATGATAATAATTATTTTAAAAATTATATTTAAAATTATAATTGTTAATAGTATAAAATCTCGAATGGAGGGTCAGATATTTTTGTTATTTATTTATTTTTTCTTCTTCTCCAAAATGCCCTTTGCCCTCTTCTCTCGTAATCGCACCTCTTTCAATCATACGGAAAACATCAAAGCTTCCTTCTCTTCGCTGATTGAGAGCAGTTGCGAGAAGGTTTGTCGATTGAGCGTGGCGGTGACGAAGCCATGGTAAGAGGGGTCGTGGGAGAGCCGGGGAGGGGGTAATTTTAAAAATTAGTGAATATCCAATAAATATATAAATATTAATTTTTATTTAAAATATTTATAATTATGTTTTTTTTAAAAATACTTTATTAATATATAATAGAAAATATATTCACATAAAAAATAAACTAAACATATTTTTTAAATATTCAATATTACAAATATCGGTAAGTATTAAATGTCACTAAAAAAAAACTTCCATCAATTTATAACAAAAATTAAATTTATGTTAACTATATCTTTTATAAAGAAGGTCGATTAATTATGTCCTTAAAAATATACTAAATTAAAATAAATAAGTATTTTAGTTTTTTATTTATTATATAACTAAAATTTATAATAAATTATATACAAATAAATATTATATTTCAATATATATTATTTAAAATTTGTATAAATAAATATTTTTAAACATATAAACTATATGTTAGATTTAAGATAAATGATTTATATTATAGTACAAATATTTTTTTATCTATTGATAGTTTATTTTAACATTATTAAAATTTAATTCATAAATAAATATAAAATTTAATTGAAAAGAAGTTGAGATAATTCTTAAAAATCCTTTCATTACAAAATAACTTCTAAAAATACTCATAAAAGATAATTGGTCATATTTAATGTATAAAAGTTTATTAAGTCAAAAGATGATTCCATTAACTTAGAGTTTTAATGCTAACAAACAAGTGTTTTTATAAAGAAGAAATGTTGCAAAAACGTCTTTAAACACACATTTGAAAAGTTTATCACATGAGGTATAAGGCACATATCATCTATAAGATGTTATTAATCAAACAAAGTATATAGTCTGTCTTATATACATTAAATATTTTTATTTATTGAGACTAATGATAAAGTTCACTTTAAATGTTTCATTCCTTAATAGATCAAATAAAAAAAATCATCTCGAAACTCACAAATCTTTTTAAGAGAAAAATATGCTTTCCATAAAAAAAATTCTTGAAATCACAGAGAAAAGCAAATAATGTCACTATTATAGCTATTCTATGCTAACATTGCTTCTATAAGTTTTGTTTAGCATGAAAAGTTGATAAGTAACCTCCTTAATTAATTAGATGAGAGGTACTATTTGATGAAATGCATTTAATGATCGCATTAAATATGCCAAATGATCACATGCCACCAAAAGAGAAGATGATGAAGACAAAATAAGCAAATTTGTGAGTTGAACTCAAAGTGTTGCAACAATCATCTTCTCCAACCTACTTACTATATAAGAAGATTCAAAACACAAGAAAGAGAGATACATAAAATTTACATCTAAGGCATCAATTTCTAGTAAAACATATACTTTGTATAAAAACCTCTTTGTAAATCTATTATTTCTTGTAAAGATTCATTGCTCCCCCCACAAATCTTCAAGGAGATGCTTCGTGGAAACCTGAAGATGAGTTGTTGTGTAGAGCTTTGTTATTATTAGATGGGGGTTGATTTTGAGAAACAAGGTTTTTTTATGTTTTTTTTTTTAAGAATGATGTTTTCTATTCCTTAGCATGCTCTCTTTTAAAGAGATAATTATCTTATTTTCTTATTTTTCTTTACCATAAAGTTAACATTTATCCACTTTCGGTTGTATCTCCAACTAATTACTAGTTACATTCTTTTTCAAGTTAGTTCTTAGTATAACTTAGTTTCTCTTTAATTTATCTATTTATTATTACATCTATAAATTTTTATAAACATTTGAAGTTGATTATTATTATTTGTGTTCTATAAGTTACCTATAAACTCTTAAATAAATATTTAAAGAATTTCCAAAAATTATTAAAATTTATTATAAATATAAAATCTTATTCTAATCATAATTTTATAACAAATTAAATTCAAACAATTACCATAAATAAATAATATACACATATAAATTTTAGGGTGTTACGCAAATAATCATATAAAATTAGCACAATTTAATTACAAAGGTTTTTCAACATCACTACACAAAGTATCATACAAATGTGCGCATTTGAAAGAATCATGTCCTCTAGTAGATTGTCTATCTCTAAATTGGCTTGTTCTTTTTGTGTTTGACAAACTTCGACGTGTGACATGTCTAACAATTCAGCATGCCATGTCCATATTGTGTAGTTCTTGAGAAACTCATCACACAAAACATGCTCTTATATAATGTCTATGGGCTGCCTTTGCAAATTGAAACAATTCACTCAAGGACAATAGAACCTTCCATTATAGTCTATAACAATTATTTGTGCAAACTAAAGAAACTCTTTCACTCCATTATCATATTCAACACTTGTGTGTAAACAATTCATCCAACTCCGATCCATCATTTGTGTTCATCTGATATAAATCATGTTAACCTCACTTTTTAATATAAGGTGTGACCCTACTCATTCATAAAGATAATATTTTTTATACTTGATTAATACATAAAGGTAAAATCTCATTGTTAAGTCTCAATTTTACCTCTTTTTGGATGAGACTTACTGAACAATTCCACTCATCCTCTGAATCATTGCAATATAATTGTTCTCTTTTTGGTTCAATTTGTGTGCAGATATAACTAACCCAAATTCATCTAACAATACCTTAATCCACCTCATTTTTTGTGTAGGTATTGAGGGAAGAGTGGAAAGTTGAAGATCCCTTGGATTGGAAATCTAAGAAGCTAAGGAGCAGAGAAGAGTGACTGCGCCGGGCGCAATAGGACCCGCGCCGGGTGAGCAAAATAGAATATCTCACCTCTGGAAGCCATCGCGCCGGGCGCAAAAGAAATTGCGCCAGGCTTGTGTTGCGACAGAGAGTGATTGAAAGACCGTAAGCCGGGCGCGAAGACTTACGCGCCGGGCGCAAAACCCTAATCTGATCTCCCAGACTCGTATTTGAAGGCATTTTCGAGGACTCTTCTCCCCATTCTCACATTGGGCGCCTCTAGGAGCTGCGGAAGGGATTCCCAGGGCTTGGGATCGTCCGTGTGCGGATCTTTCCTTCGGTTCTTCACTTCCTCTTCCATCTCTATTTTTGTATTTACCCTCTTTGTTGAGCGGTTCTACCCATTTTGTGGGGTTAGATGTAACCAACATACTCTATTGTAATCTTTACGGTTTTAATGATATATATATGTATTGTTTCATTCATTGTTGTGTTTGTTTCTATGCTTAATGCTTGCTTTGGATTGATCACCCTTTGCATGATTTAAGGTTCCATTGAGTATTGGGAAATACCATTGAAACTAGTTCTGAAACATATGCCTAGTGGTGATTGTATCTAGGGATAGAGCTTGACCCATTAGTAGTCTTAAACCCTAGCCGAGTGTGTGGGTTACTCTCATGGAGAGGATACATAAGTTTACAACACTTACTAAGGTTTAGTTCATCACTGACATTTCGAACACCTTAGTCTACAGAGATAAAAATACAATATTACTTTGTACATATGACTATGTATGCTCATCTCTGGTCTTTGTCTTGTGGGCTTGATATAAAAAGACAACCTCTTAAGGTTTGATGTTGAGGCTTATATATAGTCTTGTGAAATCTGCCCGTTACAATTTTCTGTTGAAGCAAATATAGTCGTTCATGACCGATTTGATCTTTTCATTTAATGTTCAGATTCGTGCATTAAATGTTGCTTCCTGTTCATAGACAATGCATGAAGTTTCCTTGCTCTGTTAGTAGCTGTGTCTGAATATAGGAGAGTCCTAGGAAACTTTTTGTCCTTTTCTGATCCTATAGTTGTGGAACTTTTGTCCCTGCCTGAAAAAGTGATGTACTTTTTCTGACATATGCATGATTTAATGTTTGAGCATGCTCTTCTTCTTTCTTCTTCTCTT